CTACTTTTTCTCTCCGTTAAAAGTGCAGGGCTTGAAACCGGTATCTATACACCATTATAAAACCGAAACCGGAAAAAATTGGTAACCGTAATTAACTTCAAAACCGAAACCGGAAGAAATTGGATATCAGTATTAACTACAAAACCAAAACCAAAAAAAATTGGATACCGGTATTATTATTAAAAACCAAAACCGAAAATATAATTTAAATAACGGTATTTTTTTTGAAAATCTGTATCTTGACATTTTGGAAAGTTTACTTTACACAACAGGCCAACATGCGATTCAAACGCTCGATCCAGCGATTCAAAAAAAATAATAAACTAAGAATGAACATAAATAGTCCCAGGCCTTGAAACCTATTTTAGAAACCGGTATAAACCGTTTAAAAACTGAAACCGAAAACAAAATCAAAATCGAAACCGAAAAAATTGTAAACCGGAATGCAAAATTGAAACCAAAACCGAAATTTCCTTATACGGGTTTTGCAAAATTTAAACCAAAATCGAGAAAAATAAAAACCGGCATATAAAATCGAAATCGAAAAAGAAATTTTTTCAATCGGTTTCAAGCCTCGTAAAAGTGATAACCCAAAATGTATATTTTCCCCTTATTGCATTTATGCTTCCAGTAATTTAGAAAACACTTTTATTTTACCATTACCACTCCATTTATTCCTAATAAAAAAGTCAACCTTTATAATCAAATAATTAATCGTGTAGTAGGTACTGAGTACAGATAACCGATTACTATAATGTTTTTTTATAATTTGTAAATTTGTAATCTAATAAATACATTAATATTACCTAAGTATTGTAAACTAGATATTATTATATTTAAAATTCAAATTATGTGACCATTTTAAATAATGCCATAATGGTAATGACTAATACAAATAATTATCAAATAATAATACTGATTAGGTATCTACCAAATAAAAAATATTCAATAATATTATATTTTTGGCATAATATCGGCAGCAAATAGTCGAGGGTGTGGAGATATGGAGTTGGTAAGTAGACGGAATATATCAATAAACAAACTATTTTTAATTATAGATATACCAACTACCAATATAATATAAATACTAGTCCGTTGTCCGTACATATAGCCTAAAGGTATTATTTTTATTATAGTTTACTATCTAGTATCTAGTTGAATAATTAATATAAATAACATTGTACAGGAAACGGTTTCTTCTGAAAATGATTTATTCCAGAATTTTAGTATTGTTTTGTTTTCAATTATAAGTCATAGTATTATAAATAATTACCCGAATACCCAACATCCATCCAACTACTAAGCAGGTACCCACCCACCCACTCTCCAAATTTTGTACGTGTTGCTCAAACGGGCGCACACTAGTTGCCTCCCGAAGTCAGAAAGGTCAATAATTTTTATACGAATTGCCTCCCGACTATATACTAGTTGCCTCCAGACGTACCCTAAATTTTATCGTAAACGAAAAGGGTCGAGTACTCTGTACTAGTAACCTTCTAATAGCCAGGTAATAAATATACAAGTGGTTCCAAACAGTCATTTTAAGCCAAACATAATTTATATTGATTTTGAAAAAGCCATACACAGTTCTATAACATGCATATGGCCAAATATTTCTATAAGAGGATGTCGATTTCATCTTGGCCAAGCTTGGTGGCGTAAAATTCAGTCACTTGGATTAGCTTCAAATCACTGTAATGACGATTCGATTAGAGAATACTTAACGTGCATATTTGGCCTGTCATTTTTAAACCCAGCGGAAGTCGGAGATATGTTTTCAATGGAACTAGCAGCCATACAGCCTTTAGCCCTTTGACGACTGACGAGTATGGACGTATAATACCTATATACGTTTTGTTGAAACGCTCCTCAGGGAGTATGGACGTATATTTACGTTTTACACAAAAACGTTATTTTATCTATGTGTTATGTCCGTATTAAATTTACGATGATTTATGAATCATGTGCTGCTATCTACTGGCTACGTATATTTACGTCTTTACTAAAATAGCGGTATCGTATTTAAGATGTAAATATACGTCTTTACTTTAAATAATTTATCCAAGTTGCTCATTCCTAATTCACTCCCTGGGTGTAAACTAATAAATCCCAATTGACTCTCCAAAGGATTAGATGATAAAATAACTCAATTTTCGGACTATTTAGTAGATACATATATATCAGAGGATTCAATGTTTCCACCTCATATATGGGCAGAAAAAAGTTCAAGCATTCAGCGCACAACCAATGCATGCGAATCTTTCCATAGCAAATTTAATAGCTATTTTGAGTCGCCGCATCCTAATATATATAAATTCATCGAAGTTTTAAAACTAATTCAAACTGAGACTGTAATTTTAATACAAAGTTCTAATAAGCCTAAACTACATGGTCGATTACAAATTAGAAACAAAATAATTTTCATTGATACCCAAATAAAAAAGCTGAATGAAAAAAAAATATCAAATTTTGAGTACCTACAAATATTGGCTAAAAAATATAAGCCAAAGCAATGTTATAAATAACTTTTTGTATTTTACCTATTTTGTTTGACTTATATGACTACCTAATTGATTTATCATTTTTATAGTTGTGTTATTTGTGTATAAATGTCGTATATTATACCTAAGGGCTAAGACTGATGTGTTCTAACTGAACTATATTATATTTTTAACACCATAATGACTTAGTTTAAAATAATTTATAATTTGTATACCATTATATTACCACACTTTTCTTTTATTATTATATGTACTACATCCTATTTTGTTTGACTTATTGACTAATTGATTTATTATTTTTATAGTTGTGTAATTTGTATATAAATGACGTATATTATACCTAATAAAACATAAAATATTTATTAATTATGTTAATTTTAATATCGGTAATAATTTTAAAATGTGTTATTAATGTTTAAAATCGCAGTCAAAATGTATTATATTGTCGTTGTTGGACCATGGATTTTTGTAGACAAAAAAACTTCTCTCTACATCTACATTCTACATGCTACAAATGCACATCTACAATGCTTTGTACCTTTACAAATTGTATGATGGTTTTTATTCAAACATGAAACAACCAACAATAAATTATGTTATTTATAGTTTTAAATTGTGAAATCGGTGATAATTGATAATTGATAAAATAACCTATACTTTACTTTTACTTAATAGTTAATCTATATTTTTAGTAGAAAATTAGAATTCGTGAAAGATACTCTAAAACTTGAAAATGCACTAAAATGTAAATTAACCGGTATTTTAAGATGTCCTACCTAAAGACGATCAACGTGTTAAAATACCAGAAATAAAAAATTACTACTCTTAAGAGGACGCTACCCATACATTTGTTGTCTCCGTCTTACACACACACGACATAGCAACTTGCCGTTCACTAGTTTCAATAGTGTGCTATTATAAATCTTTAAGGTAAAAACATTATTTGTGCTTAAGCATTGCTGTTTTTTCGAAATTTTCATTTTCAAGCAAAATATCTGTAGGTATGTGAAATATCAAAAATTAAATACCTACCTATCCATTTAAATTTACTACAATTTTTTTTTTATTTTTTAGAGTCTTATATAAATTCAAATAACTGCAATAAAATACAAAACCTATATGCGAAATCCCGCAAAATATTATTCTCTATAATAATTTTTGTATACCCAAGAGCCGGTCCTGTTTTTACCAGAAGATTACGCAGTGCGTTTGTTTGAGGGAGAAACCAAATGACATCCCAGGGGCGGACTGAGAGTACTTCGGCCCGGGTGGGGAAGATTTGAGTGGCTCACAATTTATTTTTGTACGATCAAAAAATTTTCAGCTCGCTTATCATATAGGCTAAAATTTTTTGGGTGCTAAGGGTGTTTAGCACCGCCAATATATTCTAGGAATAAATAATACCTAGGTATCATATAATTCATAATATTATATTATATCATTTTTAAAATCTTTTAATCTTAAAATCTTTTATATAATTTCTTTACGTCTATTCTTAGATATTACTGAGACAAAAATGTATTAAGTACTTTAAATTGAAATGTATAAATTCAACACTTGATGCATAATGTATACACAACTACACAAGTTACACGTAGGCAAGCAATTTTAAATAAATTTTTTGATCGTTAACTTCACTTGTTCTCCATTCATTCGTTCAATGTTTTCAATTAAATAACGAATAACCATAGAGTATTGACGGTTAAGATAGGTAATACAGTATAAATTATATAAACAAAACAATATTGGTCGACGGTCGGTCGTCGGACGACGGCGGGCGGCGGCCTACGGGAATTTCGTTATTTCTAATTACAGCTCATAACTTCTTGTAATAATATTATGGTGGGGTGAATCTCGCGGGTCAGGGAAAATTACTTTCATTATATGCTGATAAGCTATGTAGAAATATTCGTGCCCCAGGATTGTGTATTTTGTGTGTTATTATCTATAATTATTGTTAATTTAGAAATCGAATATAAAATTATAATATAATATATTTTTATTAAAAGTGCACCATAACGGAGGGGCCTCTCACGACAGCGGCTCCAGTGGATTTCTCCCACTCTCCACCTGGTTAGGTTAGCCGCTGTGACTTCCTCTTAAATTAGATTATCAATCGTGAACAGTAAAGCCATGGACAAGAGTAAAGCGTCCCGTTCGTAATATAGCTTTGGTGGAAATTGTGGGGGAGGGGCTAAGGATTTGGCGGGGCATCGTGTAGAGAAGTCGGTGATTTAATAATATAAATATATTTATATATATTTAAAAGGCATTTTCGGCTCGGCAAAACTGAGATATCAAAATCAAAAATCGAATTGCTGTTATCACGTTTCTCGATATCAGTTCAAGCCCGGATATCACTTTGATGAGTTATCAAATTGTTTGCGAGTATTCTGTATTAGAACAATAATCAGAAATTCATAACTATAGAAAATTCACTCTGCTCACCGTTTAGTGTTTTTCACTTCAGTGTTTCTTTAAAATCAACTGACATTCATTATGGTTCTCGAAAGTACTATGATATGGTAAGTAGGCACAATGATATTCGTTTTCGGGTAAAATTCGTTCATTTTCAAATCTCATATTTTGTATACTGGTAATAGCGATAGTTAACGTAACAACTACAAAACACATTCAGCCACATATATGTCCCTTTTTTTAAGCTTAATTATTTGTTCCATTACTAATCATTTAATATAAGTCTATATAAGTATATTATACCTACATATTATTTCATGTTTGACTCATTTCAATATTTTTGAGTAGGTACAGTACTACAGCAATACCTACCTACCTAACTAGTAATCTTTATTATTTTCTTTTAAACATTTTTATATGGTTTAAAAAGTATTTATTTGTTTGTTTCGTTACATACCGTAAGTTAAAACAGTAAACAAACAAAATAAAACTATTTAATTTACCTAAATAATTAACTATTTTCAGAAGTTAAAAATAATAAGTACCTATTTCAAATTATATTTAAATATCTTTATAATCATAAATTGACTTGTAATATATTCCTTTGTAGTGTTGATAACAGCAACTACATGCAAAATGATGATTTTATACCTAGCCGTCTACAAGCTCAACAAGATGCTGTTAACATAGTATGTCTTTCTAAGACTCGTGAAAATCCTGAGAACATCGTCGGTCTATTAACTTTAGCCAAGTATGAATTTCTATATTTTTAAATAACACATTGAATTTAATGCTTGGTTGATCATTTTGTTTTTAGTGTTCGTGTATTGGCTACTTTAACAGCCGATGTTGGTAGGATTCTATCAAAATTGCAACAAGTAAAACTCAATGGTATCATGGATTTTCTTACTGGCATTAAAGTTGCTCATGTAATTTATAATAATTATTATATAAAGTATTTACTGTTATACAACAAATTAATATAAGTGACACTTTTGCCTCATTGAACTTTTCAAATCAAGCGGTACTTTAATGTTTAAATTATATCACACTAAGCACATAAATGATAACAGTTGATATATATTACATTATTCAGTAGTTATTAAATAACTAAATTAGACAACAGCTATTCATTTTCAAATATTGAAAGCATAAATTAGTAGTTGCTAGGGCTAAATAGGTACCTTAAAAACCTTAAAATATGCATTTATTTATGACCACCTAAAAAAAAACCACTAAATATCCTCTATATAAATATGGTCTTAATATATGCCTCATAACCAAAAAATTTTGACTATATACCAGAAAATTTTTAATTTATGTTGTAAAAAATATACATAAATGTAAGCTGTAAAAAATTTAAAAAAAATTATTATATCTATGTAAATCATTATTTATATTTCCAGACTTTGAATATTTTTTAAGCATGTTCAAAAAAATAGCTGAAAACTCCATTTATTGATTTTCTATTTATTTTTCTATAATTAATTCAATAAATACTAACTACTACACAAGTTAATAGTTGTATTAATGTACAAAATCATGTATTTATGATTGATAAAACCATACCATTGCAGGTTCATAATTTTAATTATAAAACACAATCCATATTAATTTCTTTGAATATTCTCTTAGGTATACCAGTATTAAATTTTTTTACCAATTCAAAGAAAAAATATATTCTAATTTAAAAATATATATAAAACATGCACCCACAATGAAAATATAACAAAATACACATTAACATGTGATAAAGTAAAATATGCAAAAAAAAATGTCTGTAGATTCCTCGTATCATGAAACAGATTTCTATATCACTAAGCCATGTTTTTAATGAATATTAGATAATATGCAAATTCTTATAGGTCCTTAGACCAGTAATAATACTTATATTAAATACTTATATAACTAATAATACTTAAAAACATGTTAAATGTAATAGTTTTTTTTTAATTAAATATTTTTACTATAATTTACTAAAAATCAGGTTAGTTTAGAAAAAAATAAGGAATAGTCATTTCACTTCAATATATACTACTGCTGTCAATATATTATAAAACAATTTAAATAAAAATAGTGTATCAAACCCTAAATATTTTGAAATATTACAGTTAGCGTTGAAGCATCATCAAGGAAAAAATCATAAAATGCGTATAATTGCATTTATTGGCAGTACGATTGGTTTGGATGAAACAGAAATTATTAAGTTAGCTAAGAGGCTCAAGAAAGAAAAGGTTAATGTGGATGTTGTTTCTTTAGGCATAGAGGTAAAAATTAATTTAATTAAACTTGAATTATAGAACATTTTAATATTTTATACTATTCAATTTTTAGGATGAAAATTCTGATGTATTAACTGCGTTTGTTAGTGTGTTAAATGGTAAAGATAGTGGTGGCAGCCATCTTATTGCTGTACCACCAGGTTCACATTTTTCCGAAGCATTAGTATCAGCTCCAGTTATTCAAGAAAAAGATGGTGCTTCAGGAGCTGGTCTTGGCAGAACAGTATATAAATTCGGAGTTGATGCTAATGAAGATCCTAAATTATCTTTAGTTAGTTATTAAATGAGTCAACTCTTGGGAAAAAAATTTGTATAATCTAATGTGATTTATATTTAAAGTCAATGCTTATTTCTATGGAAGAACAAAGAGCTATACAGGAGCAAGAAGCTCGTCGAATTCAAGCTGCATCTGCTGGTGCTGAAACGTCAACTGCTCGTCCAGAAACAATTAATAAAAGTAAGCTGAAAAAATATTTTTATAATTCCCTATGTTACAAAAAGCTAAAGGATTTGTTGGCTTTTAACTTCCAACTTCATACCTTAATATTATTAATAAAAAGTAAAATCATATTTTACTGGCAATAGAATACTTATTAGTAATTAATAATTACTAATAAATTATAAGATATGTAAAATTAGTAAAATAGATCTTGAGAAGCTTTGTAGCCACACCACTCAGATATGTTATCATGCCACCATCTATAATAATAAATATATAGTGTTGATAAAATAATTCTATTGTTCTCGAACCATTGCTATAGACACCTACCTACCTACCTACCATAGGTTTTTATCACATATTATGTATTATTTAAAAATTATAAATAATAATCAAACGGTTTAATAATAACCACCTTGGGTCGTAGTACCGTTTTGTTTTTCATTATTAAATTTAAAGTTTAACATTATTAAAATTAATTAAAAAGATTGTGTCAATACAAATGCCCGGTGTAAATGCCAGAAATTCCAATTTATTATATTTATTTATATCATTATAGACACTTTTGAAATATATTATTATACAAATTAATTAATTAATTTATATCATTTATTTACTTATTTGAGAAAAAATGAATTACTACCACTACATTTATACAATTTGATGTTTATTATTATTATTATTATTATTATTATTGTTTATTTTTTGGTACTATGTTTTTTCCGGTATATTTATATTATGGATGGCGGCAAGATAAACCCGAGTGGCAGGGCAATGCTTGTTTAGTCTCCAATGCGGAAAATAACAACTCAGTATCCAAATATTAAGATGATTATAATTCCTTTCAATTTTTATATTTTATTTTTTCAAATTCTATTCTTCGGTTGTGTCTTTTAGATTATTAATTATTTTGTGTCACATCATCCATATCACACTAAACAATAAAACTATACCTAAATAATTTTAAAAAAAGGATTAACAATGATAATTATCACTATAATTTAGATTTGTATACTAGCATATTTGTTCAGTTTTCTTCATAGCTTTTAATGTTAAGTAAACACTAAATATTTTATTTTAAAAAATAATTGTATAATATAAAACTATGAATCTTATTTATGCATATTTTTGGATATTTATATATTACAATTTTTGGAGCATTCATTTTAAATTTTTTACAATTTCAAAGTTATATTTTACCTGCTATGGTTATCTCTGTCTTATACATGCGTCATAGCAAATATTTGACTGAACTATTACTATAGTTTATACTTTATTTATAGTTAAGGGGATGTTATAGTGATATTTGTTATCTCTGTCTTACAAGTGCGTAACAGCAAATTTTATGTCAGCATATCACGTTTAGCTCCGTTAGTTTAACAATTATAGTGAATTGACCTCTTATAAAATTTAAATGTAAGATTATTATCTAGGCAATGACTTGGCTTTTAATAATATTTTAATTTTAATATGAGTTTAAAAGTATAGTAGAACTCCAATCATCCAGACTAATTAATGTCAAGGGTGTTCCGGAACAAATATCCAGAAGATTGACATATGACATATTACGTATTTATCATGACAAATTAGATAGGTATCATCACAGTTGCACTAGTTTTGAGTAGTAGATACGCATCTCCTTCACCTCCGGCCTATATTGTGGTTCTCCACTTTTCATTGGTTGATTTTGTTCCATGTAATATATGTATGTATATGATTGACAGCCAATAAGGAGTGGAGAACTACAATATAGGCGAAGTAAAGAGCGGAGGATGAGTATCAAAATACTGTGATGATACCTTTCTAATTTGTCATTGTATTTAAATAACGTTATATAACGATTGACAGACTAAACTGTATGACGATTAGACAACAACTGACTTACTATTACCCAATACCTATTCTTTATCTAATCTATGATTACGTTTATGAGGAACTAAGAAATTCAATTACAATTTACTTGTTATCAAAAGACATTTGTAGGACGGAGACAAGTGACAGTACATAATATGGAAATGACTTACTTCTAAATAATTTATTAGTTACTGGAAACTGAAGTAATGGTAACATATGTCAACTTTGGTCAAAACTTTAAATAAACCTTGATATTATATTTCTAATTACATCATTATTTTGAATTTAACCCCATTTTAGTATTTTATATATTATCTTATAATTATTACAGCTCCAACAGAAGAAGCTATGTTGGAGCGTGCTTTGTCAATGGAAACTAGTGAAGATGAGCCTATGGTTGTACAGGAGGGATCTGGCACTTCAACTTCAGGACCTTCTGCTGTAGCTCCATCTCAAGTGGACTTTTATTGTATGAGTGAAGAACAGCAGATAGCATTTGCTATGCAAATGTCTCTGCAGGACTTGGCAGCTAAAGAAAAAGCATCAACATCAAGTGCCAAATTTTATTGAAATTAGATTTTCTGAGTAAATTAACGAATTCTTATCGAATATATTTTTTATATTTTTTTGTAACTCAAAAACAAACAACCGTAGATACTTCAATTAAAAATATTTATTTTATCATTTAAGATACCTACAATCTACATGATAAAATTTCAAAATAATTAGACTCGTTTTGAGCCATTAATATTCATTTGAAATTTTAATTTTTTTAGTTAGCTAATTTTTCAATAAAATGTTTTTGTTTGGTCCATATGCTTATAAATTTAATAGAAGGTTATTCGTATAAACTATAATAATATAGTTCGAACCAAAAATCTAAAAAATACATACATAAATAGGTAAAATTATTTTTTATAGACATTCTATAAGCTTAAATTTAAACGAAATTAGATAATTAATTAAATAAATTATTTAAACGAAGATTTACGACATTAGTTACTTTGTTATAATTTAAAGATATTATTTCATATTTGTGGGTAGGTAGGTACTTGAAACTTTTAAGGTATATTATTTTATTGTATAATACGCATATAAATAACATTTTAAAATGCAATATTTTCGCGAACATTAATCGAACCTGCTTTAGTAGTGAGTACTAATGTTTAATAGTAAAACAAATAACTTTAGTAGGAATAATTACCTACATAAAATATACTTGGTAATATTATAGGGTGGCAGACAGTCTTCAATCAGAATTGTTTTTTGTATCCAATGATTTTATATTTTAATGATATTTTAACACATATACCTACCTAACTACATTGCAGTACCCATCACCCACTTGACACATTATAGGTATATTATATCATTAAGTTTTATCTACAATCTATACTAGGGAGTTTTCAGTTGTTTAATAATATTATGTAAAAGTTATGCGTGACACCAGTCACTGCAGCTAAACTCATTGTACAATGTATTAATTACATTCACAATATACATAATAAAATTTAAAAATATTACATCCACTCATCGCTTAAGTACCTAATAAATAATATTTAATTTTGTTTCTCTTAAAATCTAAAAGGATAATTTATAGACCTCATGACTGTATCATTAACAGAAAAATAATATATAATAATATAATATACTGCCAATAAAGAAAGACGATCAATATTTATTTAAATTGTTTAACCGACGATCGCACGCCAACGCCTTATTTTAATAATTAACATTAAATAAACCAATAGTATTTAATAGTTATTAATAAATAATAAATCCATTCAAACAATCCTGTTTTTTGTATAGAGGGAGTTGTTACTTGTTCATACCATTCCATCATACACATATAAACTAATGGACATCGCTTCGCACACCGCAATATTTATAATATTATATTATATTTCATATTATTTATGTTAAAAAAAAAACAGAAAATTATTTCATCAAAAGAAGTACTTATATTGAATAAAAATATAGAGTATAATTATTTTTTTTTTGTTAAAACCCGATAAGGTCAGTGGCGTACGCAGGGGAAGGAGCTAACGTGCTGAAGCCCAACCCCTCCCATTGCCGTATTATTATTACTTTTTCCAAGTCTTAGCTATACAAATTTAATATTTTATACATTTTGAACTACAAATTAATTGAGGTTTTGTTAAAATTTGAACTTTAAATGCTTATAAAAAATAATTTTGCCTATATGTGTCTTAATATTTTTAAACAGCTATAATAAAAACTTATGATGAACCTTATATTAAATATTTAAGCTTTTTGACCAAACAAATAATTATTTATTGACATTTTTAGAAAAAAAACTAAAATTAATCAAATGTATCCAACTGAAGACGGTCTAATCAGGGTTAGGTACCAAACAATTTTAACAAATTTTCATTTATTTTTGTTATTCCTGATTATTTTAAAATCATCTCTAATATCAAATAATGAATAATAATATCAAATAATAATGGTTTTAAAACAAGTGTACGTTGCCGATTCCTTTAAATTTCTGCAATTGTTTTACTTAGTTCTAATACACTTTCATTCTATTCAGCATTCTATAGAATAAACTATTTTAATAAGTAACTAATATACAGGGTTTTCCATTTAACGTCAGACAAAACCTTCAAACCCGTCATTTTGGTTTTTGTTGTAACTACCGTTCCAATTCTATTACTGTAGATGCAAGACATTTTCAATTAATATTTATGTATTTATATAATACAATATAAAAACATAATCTATTCAACATAACATTTTCGAAATATTGTGACCCTTTTTAAGATATCTACCCGTATGCATAAGAAAATTTTGAATAATATTAGTTTTTTTTTAATTATTGTGAATAAAATATTTTACGCACTATCAAAAATGTTGAAAATGTATTAGAATGTTCCTCGTAAGTTTTTATTTAAGTAATTATTTAATTTGTTTAATTGCTATAATAACTGTTTTTAATATTTTGTGTTTCAATTTTAATATGTGATCTCACGAATAGTTAATCAGCAGTACCCAAAGGCAGCCACAGAATATGGGTACCAGGCAAAGAGATTTTCTTTAAAAAGACTGTAATGATCATATTTTATAATTAAATATTTATATTGTTAATTAACACAGAATATATAATTTAGCACTCAATAACTGGTTGTTTTCATATTATAATAATACAACTAGATAATTAAAAGGATTAAAGATAAATCAAATGAATTTTTTCAACATTTGATCTTTAAATGCTTATGAAAATTTGTTGCATAATTATATGTAAAAAAAAATTAAAAACTACTAAATTGAAAATATTTATAAATAACTTCAAATTGTATTATGTTTGGAAAATAATAGAATAAACTAACTTAAAAATACCCCAAAAAATATTGTGCATTTATGGTCATCTATTTTTTTAATTTCCTCTAACAACAACTTATATAGAACCTTGTATTAAATTTTCAAGTTTCTTTCTGCCAAAAAAGCGATGACAGACACAAAAAATAATGAAAAAACACACATTATTCATCGATCAGAATCAAAAACAATTTTTACAAAACAAAATTTATTTTAATTCTATTTGGTTTATATAATTATATTATGATCAAAATTAACTTAATTCGACAATACAAATATTAGTCAACTTATAATAGTTACTGCATTTTAGAACAACATAAGGCCATCTAGGAAAACTTTTTGAACTTCTTTCAAATTGCCTATTGAAATATTGAGTGTAGACATTTAAATGTTCCTATAAGCCGATGACGAATTTTAAAGTAATACATGTTTAAAACTTACCTAACACTAATATATTATGCTGTTGGTTGCTAATCTAGCTGCTGCTATTGCCAACTACATTTGGACTTCAGACAAGACGAAGAGTGCGCCAAAGATTGAACTATGGAGGAACTATGGCCTTGGATCGCTGAACACTACTTGTTGGCTGGACGATCATACAGTTTTCCATTCCATATTTTTGGTTACAATATACATTATACATGTTAGATATTATTATACTATTATGTTATTATTTTATAAAATGCCTGGGAATACTGTATAATAAAAAATACAGCCAGAAATCTATAAAATTGTTAAAATTAATAAGTACTACCAAACAATGTATAGGTAATGTATTAAATGCATCTTATCGGTTTTGTCATTTTATAAAATTCCTTCGTCCAATGTAAATCCATTAGTAATGAAGAAATTGGATCTGGACAAGGCTTTATTAAATGTTCATGTTCAACAAGATATCAAAAAACCAATGTTCGTGTTTAAAAAAAAAAATGTCAACCTTATTTACAATGTTGTAATAAATAAATTGAACTATTCTTTGTTAACCTAAACTTATTAAATATATATTATTATTTTTTATACGTTGTACATACATTTTTGTATTTTCCAGAATAATATAACAGTAATAATAATTAATATTTAATAACTGTGTATTAGGTACCTACTACCTAGGTACCATACAAATTATTTATTTTTTTGAATGCATTAAATTCTGTAATATTAAATTGGTACTTTGTAATAAATATTATCTTGTGTACTAATACAATTGACTGTCTTTGGTAGTATTATTATGATAAAAGGAAATGGATTTTTTTACTGATTAATGATTTCCCTATTCTGCATATTATTGGCAATTTGTTATTTGTAATTTTAAGAAATGCCTGGTTACCTATTATTCAAAATATATTGGAAATGTATGTAAAAAAATATATTATACAATTCTTTAAAAATCACCAAGTAGTATATAGAATTTCTAAGCATTTCATAAAATGCCAATATTATACTCATTGTGGCTAACATTTTATATGCCGGTTGGCTCATTTAATGTTGGACACTAATAAGTTTTATTATTCAAAAAGTACCAATGTTTTTGAAAATATATTTTTTATACTGTTTCAAGTTGACGTTTATTAAAACAATTATATTTTTTTTAATTATATTATATTAAATTTTATACTTTTTTAAATATTACAACATGCGGTTTTAATTTCATTTTCAAAAGCACAATATTTTTCCGAGTATTTCAAGTCGACTTTAGAATGAGTATAGTCTACGAGTTATAAGTAGGTATTTAAAGTTTTGTTGTGTAGTAACCGCATACTACTATCCACTCCGCTCATCAACACTTTGATTAGTCTTAAGATATAACTCATAAAAAATACAACTACTCGTCCTAAATTTGATTATTATGTATTTAAATACGAATAAAAAATGTTTTGCTTTGGAATATGAAATTAAAACTGTATTTTGTCATTCAAAAAACGTAAAAACTTAAAAAATGATGAGGGATCAGTGATGGGCAGTTACTTTAGCCAAAACATACCAATATTTATTATTGTCTTGTAATGCGATAACAATTTTTACATCTGATTTGAATTTGCCATTACGTCTACTTAAGATCTACTTTTCTAAATTTCAAATTTATTTCAAAAAGTTCCAAAATTTCGGAATTTTCAAACGTCGATTATTCGGTATTTAAATCAGAAATCTTAATACGTGGACTGATCGATTTCAAGTGGACATTATAACGAATTCACATAAGGTTTCTTAAGAACTATTGCATTATGAGGTTGATCGGTAAGATGGAACAAAGTACGATATACAAATGAGCATAAATTGTTTACCGTTTACGCACGCAACACAAACTGATATGATATTTTCCATCCGTGATAGTGATAAACCGTTATCATTTAATTCGTCTGGTTGATAAAATGAAACAAACCAAATACAATCCCAAATCCCAATGTTCTCAAACCGATATTCACCTTAATTTTATTTAATATGTTATTCAAATAATAAAAACGCTACGACACAGATAAAGTAGTTGCCTATGCGTTGTGGAATTTTGGTGATTCTACTATAAATACCGAGGGAGTGGTCCTAACCCTCGAAAAGCAGTTTTTTGTTTTGTTGTACATTTGTAAGACGGAGTGTACCAAAAAAGTAATAACGTGAGTATATTTAAGACATTTACATTGATTTTGAAGTTAGAAAATTATAATAGATATCATTAATCGTTTGCAATTTGCGAATAATATACCATTTAATAGTCCCTTACAACAGTGGCGTCATTTGTGGGGGGGGGGCAAGTTGGGCATTTGCCCCTGTCTGATTTTAAAACAGGCCCGATGGGCCGGTGCCCAGTTGTTGCCATTTTACAATGATTATTATATTTTATTGGCGCAAAAACATGCCTATTTTATAATATTTTCAGAAAATTGTATATTATATAGTAGGTATGTACTAAGAAATTATTGTCACAATTTTACATTTTTACTAATAATTGATAGTTGGAATATTTTTATATTTAGAAGTATGCGGGGACTTACACATTGTAATATGTAGGCATGTATGTTTGTTTGTGTGAGTGTGTCTTGTAAACACATAATATGTGCACAACAATAATAATAATGAGTATCGTAATCCCGTATAGTTTTATTTCTAAAATCTAAAATTAATACCGATTGTCATTCTTATTAATTATCATTGATCCAATGATCCCAGAATTCAGTTAGCTTGCGAGAGTCGTGTATCTTAAACTATTCAACTATTCTGTGTATTGTGTTAATTTAGTTGAGTTTAAATTTATTTTTTCGTTTACATTAATTTAGTTTACATTAATCTTTTAATCTGGGCAAAATGACTTAAACAAATAAATGGGTGGCGTGGCTAAAAATATAAAATTTCCGCAAACCACTCAAGAATCGAAAACAATTTCAGGTATGTTTAATAAACTGACAAAACTTGAACCTTACCTTAATAATATTAATTTGTAAATATATCGTTTACCTATAGAGTATAGACTATAAGTGATGAATCAGGGAAAATTGATTTATAGATGATGGGTTTGATATAAAATCTAAAAAAGAGAAGATATCCTTTAATAAACTACTAATATTTTTGTTTATCAATAATTAATATTGCCATAATAGTTTATAGACTTTTACCCATTCGGGCCTGTCAAAACCTTTGCCCCCCTCTATTGAAAACTGAAATGACGCCACTGCCTTACACACTTATATAGTTGTGTACCTATATACTACTTATAGCTAATTTATAGTTATAAATTATATTTTTATGTAATAAGTTATATTAGGATATCTACCTACCTGTATTAAGGTCTTAAGAATCATGTTCCGCGAATATTCAACAATATTAACTCTAGAAATTTGGTTGCTTAAACTAATAACTAGTTATTTATTAAATGTACTACCTATACCTATTTTCAATTTCAATATCAAAACAGGCTTGTATTCGGGAAGTAGAAATTAAAATAGCTTAATAGTATTGTGTTCAGTGTTTAAAATTATGTGTAGGTACCTAGCTTAGTACCACCTACCTAGTACAGCATTTTGTACTCAAGTTAATATTTTTATGTTTAGGTAAATCCCTATTATTACTTAGATAACTAATCAGTAACCAACAAGAGACCACCAAATAAATTATAGAAATTTAAATTCCATCCAACATATGCTTGCTGACAATATTCTCTTGGGCTGATATCAACGTGGCAGTTTTATTCAAAGAATTTCGCATACTACAGCAATATATGAACAACGGCAACGAAATTGGGCACTGCATGTGCATAATGAACCGACAATAGTTGCTGAACCAACAGCACCAGTACCAGTAGCTGCAGATTTAGTACCAGTTGTTGCACCAGTATCAGTAACTGATAATTTAGTAGCATTTGTTGCACCGGCAGAAGCAGTTTCATTAGTAACCAGTATTCAATTCAGATGCTTCATGTAGAACTACCTGACAACGGAAGGCTGATAGTACGTGGTCATGCTTACAACCTACATTTATAGTTATAAATTATATTTTTATGTAATAAGTTATATTAGGATATCTACCTACCTGTATTAAGGTCTTAAGAATCATGTTCCGCGAATATTCAACAATATTAACTCTAGAAATTTGGTTGCTTAAACTAATAACTAGTTATTTATTAAATGTACTACCTATACCTATTTTCAATTTCAATATCAAAACAGGCTTGTATTCGGGAAGTAGAAATTAAAATAGCTTAATAGTATTGTGTTCAGTGTTTAAAATTATGTGTAGGTACCTAGCTTAGTACCACCTACCTAGTACAGCATTTTGTACTCAAGTTAATATTTTTATGTTTAGGTAAATCCCTATTATTACTTAGATAACTAATCAGTAACCAACAAGAGACCACCAAATAAATTATAGAAATTTAAATTCCATCCAACATATGCTTGCTGACAATATTCTCTTGGGCTGATATCAACGTGGCAGTTTTATTCAAAGAATTTCGCATACTACAGCAATATATGAACAACGGCAACGAAATTGGGCACTGCATGTGCATAATGAACCGACAATAGTTGCTGAACCAACAGCACCAGTACCAGTAGCTGCAGATTTAGTACCAGTTGTTGCACCAGTATCAGTAACTGATAATTTAGTAGCATTTGTTGCACCGGCAGAAGCAGTTTCATTAGTACCAGTATCAATTCAGATGCTTCATGTAGAACTACCTGACAACGGAAGGCTGATAGTACGTGGTCATGCTTACAACCTACAAGGTAGTAAATATAACTAAAAAATATCATAATTAATATAATTTAAAAATTAAAATGGTACTTTAATTAATAATGTTAATTCAATTATGACTGTATAGTGTATGAATGGGAGCAATAAAGGGAGGTATAGGGTCTATAGCACCCGCCCAAAACACAATAATTTCAAAGACCATAATGGCCACCAAACGCAAAATATTACCATAGTCACCATCTGTTGGCATCTAACAAGTATTTTATATGGTAAGAGTTTTGGCTGTGAATCATGGAATACTGTCTACTGATGGCAAACTTATTTGATTACAATGAAAAGTAAGAATAATATGTATATTTATAATATGTTCTAACTTGTAAAAATTCTAAACTAAATTCTTCACTTAAAAATATTTTTTTTTGAAGTTTCCATTATTGTTATAGCAAACTAAAAAAATAAATTAGGTACTTCTATTTTTTTATTATCTGTATTTATAATTCATTGGTAATTTATCTATTTATTATTATTGTTACTTATAAATTAGATACTTATTTTTAGCTATTTGCTCAGACAAGTCGGATCAAACATAACTTCAGTCAATGGATTACCAAGACTAACTAACAATAGTCACGAAAGTTTTCATAATGCCTTACGGAACAAATGTAACTCATGGATATTTTTAGGTGATCATATTTTATTTTTTTTTACACTTATTCACTGAACGCCAACTGCTACCAACCATATTGGATTATAATATTACAGATCACCTATCTCACCTGAGTATGAGTTTCCACACTATTGTGGCTCAGATGAATAAAAATTTACGGCCAACAAGAAACCACAAAATAAATTATAGAATATAAATTCCATCCAACATATGCTTGCTAACAATATTCACTTGGGCTGATATCAACGTGGCAGTTTATTCAAATAATGTCGCATACTACAGCAATATGAACAACAGCAACAAAATTTGGCACTGCATGTGGATAATGAACCACCAATAGTTATTGAACAAGCAGCAGTTGTTGCACCAGTATCAGTAGCTGATGATTTAGTAGCATTTGTTGCACCGGCAAAAGAAGTTGCATTAGCACCAGTATCAGGTCAGATGCTTCATCTAGAACTACCTGACAACGAAAGGCAGATAGTACGTGGTCATGCTTACAACCTACAAGGTAGTAAATATAACTAAAAAATATCATAATTAATATAATAAATATTACTTTAATTAAAAATGTTAATTCAATTATGTCTGTATAGTGTATAAATAGGAGCAATTAAATGAGCTATAGGATCTTAAGCACCCTCCATAAAAACAATAATTTTTTTATAGTATCTACTGAATACTTTATATTTTATTATAGTAATATTTATAGATAAATTGTTAATACTATATTATATAATATATTTAATAATTTTAAATGTATAGCAATGACAGTTGTGTAAAGAGGATTGTATTGGTATGTCTAAGAAAACCTTGCTTCTAATAGTTTGATATTATTAAAATACTTATCAAACTTCACTTAAATTAGAAATACTCTGAATTTATTCAATAAATGTATAACAATAAACAAATAATCATTAAAATTTATGTGTAGATAATTGAAGTCATAGATACCGGAGTTCAAGAGTAGAAGGACGTGCTAGAAACGGAAGGCTTATTATATTTGAAGCTTTTTATGGTGAACTTGAAAATGATTAAGTAGAGCTACATCAAGAAAATGAAAGTATGATAAATTAAATTAATTTTCATTGCGTATGGCATTTTTGTAAATACTTGTTAACTTAAAACATTCTTTTTTCAGTCCTTGAAGTTTGCATTATTTGCTACAATGAAATTTCCACCACTACGGTAGTGCCCTGACAGCACCATTTCTGCAGAGTATGCATTGATAGGTGGATGCGAAATGGTTGAAGAGTTTGTCCCCTATGCAGAACTAACATCATTATGCTACAAAAGTAATTATTTAATTTGTTTAATTGCTATGATAACTGTTTTTAATATTTTGTGTTTCAATTTTAATAGCTGATCTCAGGAATAGTTAATCAGCAGTACCCAAAGGCAGCCACAGAATATGACGAATTATAAAGTAAAACATGTAGTAGTACCTACAAGTAATATTTAATAATAACAATTTAGACCGACAAACCGTCTCCGCTCAGAATATTTAATTCTATATCAGATTATTCGTGGACTTCAAAGTTAAATTTTTTAATATTTATTGATTAATAAGTTTATGTCGCTTTGCTGTTCAATGATATAATATCATTGTATAAGGAAAAATGTGTACTCATGTATTTTTAATATATTTTAACTTATACCTATAGGTTCTGCATACATTTTTGTGTTTTTCAGAATAATATAACAGTAATAATAATTAATAAGTAATAACTGTGTTCTAGGTAATTACTACCTACCATACAAATTATTTTTTTTTTGTTTCATTTTTATGAATGCATTAAATTCTGTAATATTAAATTAATAGTTTGTAATAAATATTATCTTGTGTACTAATACAACTGATTGTCTTGATCTGGAAATGGATTTTATTACTAATTACTAAGTTTCCTATTCTGCATATTATTGACAATTTGTTATTTGTAATTTTATGAAATGCCTATAATTCAAAATATTTAGAAAATGTATGTAAAAAAAATATATTATATAATTTTATTCTATAAAAATCACCAGGTAGTATATAGAATTTCTTGTCATTTTATATAATTATTATTTTAATACCAATATTACTAATATTACACTAATAAGTCTTATTATTCAAAAAGTACCAATGTTTTTTAAAATATATTTTTTATACTGTATCAAGTTAACGTTTATTAAAACAATTATATTTTTATTAATTATATTATTTTAAATTTTATACTTTTATAAATATTTTAACATGCAGTTTTAATTTAATTTTCGAAAGCACAATATTTTTCAGAGTATTTCAATACTTATAAGTCGAATTAAGAATGAGTATGGTTTACGAGTTATAAGTATTTAAAGTTTTGTTGAGTAGTAACCGCGTACTACTATCCACTCCGCTCATCAACACTTATTAGTTTTAAGATATAACTCATAAACTACAACTACTCGTCCTAAATTTGATTATTATGTATTTTAATACTAATAAATATGTTTTGCTTTATAATATGAAATTAAAACTGTATTTTGTTATTCAAAAAAAGTAAAATAATTTAAAAATGTTAAGAGGATCAGTGACTTGCAGTTATTTTAGCCGAAACATACCAATATTTATTATTCCCTTGTAATGCGATAACAGTTTTTAAAACTGATTTGAATTTGCTATTATGTCTACTTAAGATCGGTCAGTCTACTTTTAAAAATTTCACCCAGACACAACCATCTCGGTAGGATGGAACAAAGTACATACAAATGAGCATAAATTGTTAACCGTTTTACGCAAGGAACGCCGTGGCGGTGACTGTTATAGGTAACCTAACCAACATGCGTATGCGGGACGCCACGAAATTTCTTTTATACGCAGTCACACACTCTTATGGCTTATGTTCACTTACTACGCACACATTTACAGGACCGCATGAGTGCAATTTGATAATTGACTATTCCAAACTCCTTAAAAACTGTCCGCCACCGATTCCCTTCATGATAAAATAAACTTACAAATATATATTTTTTAAAACTGTTATTTTAACGACTAGAAACCGTATAAATTTTTTTTGAAATATAGAGTGTTTATGATAAAATAATGGCAACATAATATCGGCGTATTATTACAAGTACTTTTTTGTAATACCTATATTAATATTATTGTAATTTAATCAAAAATGTATACTTAAAATTATTATTAAATACATTATTTTATTTAATTGGTTCAATAATTTAAAATGTCACATGCATATTATATTGCCTAGTTAAGTCATAAATATATAATAAGTAAATTTAGAATCGGGATTTGTATTTGTATTTTATTTGTATTTCTTCCTCGTTTAAATATCTAATTTCGTCCAAATGTATATTTATTTTTAGAAATTTCGGGTACAGAATAACCTACTTACGTGGAACGTTCTTTTAAATTTTCAATACTTAGCTATACAAATTCAACCTTTTATAAATGTTAAACCTCATCAATTTAATTTTTAAATTTCAAATTTGAAAATTTGAACTTCAAATGCTTAAAAACATTGTGCCTATCTGTTTTTAACATTTTTCAACTGATGTTGTAACAATATATCAAGAGTCTTGTATTAATTTTTCACACGTTTTGAACACACAAAAAAATTATTTTTGACATTTATGAAAATTGTATATTGTATAGAAAATACTAATATGAACATTATTCAGTGTCAATTGCATGTGCCTATAGTTATTCGTTTTTGAATTACAACAAAATAAGAAAATCGGTACATGAGAAATCGTTATTTATTTATATATTATGGGCGGCCGGTATTACACTTTTTACTTTTTTGTTAAAACATACATTCAAATTTAACCGTCTACTGACAAGTTTTTAACTCTCATAAAGTTTAATTTTGATGGTACTTAATTAAATGTAACGTAATTTGTAATAAGTTATGGTCAAAAAACTTAAAAATGATCATGATTTTTTGGAATTTATTTTTTTTTTTGAAATGTTACAATTGTTATGATCATCGTGGCGGTGAATTATTACACAGAATTTACCTATAGCTAACCCAACGTATTATTGAAACGTCGCATAGATGTTAATTTATAATATTGTTAAAATGTCGCTAGAAAATAGATACTAATAAGATACTACCAGGGGCCCAAATTGTAGTTAAGTGGTGCGAATTGCTCCGGATTTTGCTGTGCAAATAAATATGTATAATATTATATTTCGGTGTTTTATACGTTCGTATATTGATGATAGGCATCTACATGGAGGAAGCTACGTTTCATTTATGAACCACAATAATTTTGTTTTTCAAAACATATTATGGACAATTGGACAAATTATATAGGTACCTAGTAGAGATACCTATACCTACAATATACCAATTATAATCTTATAATCTTAGGCGACATTTCTTTGTAGTTTAGTGTTTTTAAATGGCTTGTATTGATGATTTTTTTCAAAAAGGGATAGATAGGAATTATACCTACCTCGACCTCAGTATTATATACCTATATTAAATTATAATGTATAACTTGTTGTATAAATACAATAGGTAGATATTTTTAATTGTATTTGATCCAAAATCTTGTGTGTAGACATTCAATCAATAAATATCGACAATTTGAATAGAAATCTTAAATCTTTCAATATCTATAGTAGCCGTTACGTTTTAAAGTAGGTTAGTTTGTGCCACAAACTTTGTTTTAAACTCAGTTTCAAAATGTATACATATTTGTAAAACCATTGATTTTGATATTATAGAGTTTATCAATTATGACTGTTAATTTTTCCGCATCATTACATTAAGGGTTATGGTTTTATAGTTACGTCCAACGCCTAGGGCTGGTTGGTACATTGTATTATTATGGCATAAAGGAAGTCAGTTAAGTGTCTACAACTTTGTTGTACAGTATATACATAGGTGTCTTACAAAGTACTCAGAATAATAACGCATCTCTAGCATCTGCAGAAAAAAAGCTTTTCAAATATGACTTGCTAACTAATTAAATTTTTAAAATGTACCAAATTACTTAATAATAAATTATATTGTGTTGTATTATTTTAAAGGTAAAGATTATTAAAACTAGACTTTGTTTAACATGGGCGTGATAGGATATATAGGTGCTTATTTACCGGGATAAATAATTTAATTATAACTTATAAAGCCACAACTGCACATAAGTAGGTATCTATAGGGCCTGTATATTGTACAAAAAAAACAAGGACCGTGATTTATGATTTATACTTTTTACCAAATTCATACTAATTCATTACTATGAAATTAATAGTTTTTTTACTAATATGTATTTAACTCCATGACAAATTTTGTCATGGTTATCTCTATCATCAAATAAGTTGGAATAATTTAATATAATATCGGTACCTATAGTTTATGTTCGAAGTAATTGATATCGGAGTAGTATTATGATTGGCAATGAAAATATTTTTTAGGAGTAATACAATGTCATGGTAGTAGATAGTCTAGCACTGTGGTTATCCCATTTTTCATACCCCTAGGTCCAACCCTTGGAGGTGCCCAAACGGGAATTTTGAGATTGGCGATGGAAATTTT